ATAGGAACAAACTCTGTCTAGTTGGTATTAATGCAGTAACTATAATGCCTCTGATTTAAACTCTTCTTACAGCTTCTTTTCCCTTTCTTTTGCTTTTAGAATTTTTATTTTTTCTTAAAGTATATTAAAAAGAAGTCAGTAAGAATAAATATCACTGGAAATACTGGATCCACAGGTTTGTAGTAAAAATTATGCAACAAGAATAGAGGGCTTCTTGCTCTGTAGGGTTTAGTTTTAACATACTAATATAAAAATGCATTTCATATCTGAGAATATACAAGTAATGTCCTTTTGACACCACTATGTAGTTTTATAAGGTAATTTGTCAGCTAACTTTTATCTCAAGCTTACAAAACTGCTTGTCAAAATCTTAAAATTTTCCCTTTCTTCCTATAGACATATAAATATCTAATATAAATATCATAATTTAAAGATCATAATTTAAAGAGGGAAACTAAGTGAAATATACAGCCATTTTCCTTTACCCTCCCAGAAAAAAAAAGGAGTTGTGTCTAAGCTGTCAGAAAAATCTCCTCATTCTTCTGTAGTCTCCCAGCCTCTCCAGAGGGTAAAAAAGCATTTTTTTTTCCTGTAATCAATGGACTTTGAGGAAGAAGCAGGAAACCTTGCTAAATTTCCATTTGCAAGGACTTCCTCTTCATCATCTTGTTTCTCTCCTCCCTGTTTCATTTTATATCCCAGAAAAAACAATACTTGCTGTTGTATCTCAACTCCTGATGTAACTCAGGTCTTATATCTCTGGCAGGCCTGGTGGGAAGGGAAGGAGGATTTGGGGGTAGCAGAGATGCATTTATCAAGTAGATTGATGTCTCAAAGAAAGATGCTGCTCTGGGATGCGTGGCCAAATTGAACATGCAGCAGCTGAGTGTGAGCAGGAATCTGGGACTTGGTATTTATCACTTTACTCACCTCAGAATCATACATATATTTTAACTAATTTCCACAGTAAGGTCTTGTGTCATGAGGTTATAAGAGTAGCTGATGAGTTTTAGGGCAACAAAATGCTCCCTTATTAAAATGGCATTTTTTATTACCTATGTGAAAAGGAAAGTTGTTGATAACTGCAAACAAACTAGCTTTCAAGCAATGCACTAGACTTTAGGAATTTTGTATGACATTAAGTTTCATGTAGGAGCTGTTCAGAATAGTTGGAAATTATACCATTTTAAAGCTACCCATGATATAAGAAAATCAAGAGCAATGTATGTTTACAGGTTCTGAACACACGAACTTCTATTCCTAACCTCACTAGTGAATTTGACACAGGGCCAGCATGTCAGAGCTGTCAACCATGCTACTCCTATCTTGTCTAACAAGACAACAACTCCTGTCTTGTCCAACAAGACAACTGTTGTCTGTACAACAGTTGGCAAGTCCCAACAATTCACTGTCTCTGTATCTGTCATGGTTTCGCTTGTTCTTAGAAACTTTTCCCTTCCCCCTGTCCACTGTGTGAAGGGGATGTTAAATGGGCAGATTGGCTGTGGCTCAGGCAATTGAGTAACACAAAAGAAGTGTAAAATCACATTCCAAGTTGATGACCCTCAAGATCTTGTCTGTGGGGAGGGGTGAGGAGTTCTTTTTCACCTTTTTTTCTGCTCTCCTGGGAAAGGGGAGGGAGTTGTTGTTGCCTGAACTGGGACGGGGTCTGGGTGGCAGGAGCTCAGAGGTGGTTTTGTTCTCAGCCTGGTTGCCAGCTGGGAATTTTGCTTGGATTTTCATCGCTGAGGAACTGTTTGGGAGGCCTCACCTCCTCCATTTTTTTTTGGCAGCACTTCTTGTGCACATCAAAGGAGAGGGGAAGCCATACCACATGACTCAGTCAGCAGGACAGAGTGAGTTCCCATTGGGAAGGACCTTTTTTTTCTTTCCCTTCTTTCTCTTTTTTTTTTTTTTTTGGTGAGGAGGAGGGAAGACCTCCATTTTCGGCTTCTCCAGCACACCCGGGGGTCCCTCCATGTGGTGACCGCCAGTAATCCAACAGTGCCCCCTGCTGACTGGCACAGGACACTACAAGCTCTGCATCTCCAGTGATTCCACAGCGCCCCTTGCTGACTGTGGTTAGAATTGTACCAAATGGTGCAAACTGAAGTTACTTTTTCTGTTTGTTTATTTGTTTGTTTTGAAGGGGATTATTTTTGGGTATAGGATTATTGTTTGGTTGTTTTATTTGTGTTCTTTCATTGTCTCTGCCAATACACCTATATCTTTTAAAAAAGGGTTGTTATTCTTCCTTTATCCACATTTTTTCTCAATTGAAGCCTCTAAATTTCGGATTTACAATTGCTTATAGGGAGGAGTTTGGGTCTTCCTCACAACTCATCCTCAGCAAAACATTTGTGTCTCATTTAAACTGAGACAGTATCATACATGAACAGCTCAGAAAAGCTGTAAACATTTTGGATGACTGGATGGCCACCAGACTTGCAGGGTTAATTTGATTTCTGCTACAAAATTATGAAGAAAGAATGCCATAATATTGATATGCCACAATACAATAAGGTATAATACTACCATTTAGGTATAAAAGGAAGTATTCACAACCACACAACCACTTCATAGGGATTTGGCAAAAATAACTCCTAAGAAACTCAGAATTTGTAAGACAAAGTCGTTTATGAATCAAAATGCCTGTCAGAGATATTGAGGAGTCACGCATGTTTCCTTTTCTGTTTACAACTCGCCTATCCACAACTTCAATTCTTAACTACGGATCCCTCTCCATCTATGCAGTTTACCTGTCTGTTAAGATAACAACCACTTTCCATAAATAAATGCTGGCAAGGTTGATTTTTACTGCATGTATAGCTGTTTACTTCTGAAGAGCACTTTTTGATATGCTGCATAGGTTAGTATATCCCTTAAAAAGATTTGCCAGTCTCATCTGCAGTTTGAATGTTTCTTTCTAAAAGACAAACCCAGGCCAAGCAAGACAAAGAATCTGCTGATACACACATGTCACTCCAAGAATTCTCCTGACAAAGTTCCCACACCCAATTTAATTACTTCCCTACTGTAAAAACACTTTCCATCTGCATTTATTGTAATAGTTTCAAATCCAAAACTAACAGACTATAAAGCTAGCTAAATAAATGAATGATACTGGCCTCAGGTCCCAAGCCAGGAGCTATTCTGTAAGGCTGTGTGTCTCCAGAATTCATTTTTATGCTGATGTTTCATTTTATGTGCAGTGTTTTCACTTAAGCCTTGTTTAGAGAAGAATTACCTTGCTCCAGGCTCTAACGTGAGTGCCACACAGAGCCCTCTAGTGCTACTCCAGCCCAAGGTCTGTCAGAGATTCCTCTCCAAGACCAAAGTCACACTGTGACCAAAAATCCCCCTTCAGGTTGTATACACAGCACTGCACATGCTCAGGCTAGGAACGCTGATTTCAGCTGTATCTGATATATCCTCAAACTGAGGCTGAAGAGCAAAAAATGAAAAGCATTTGTTTGTAAATGCACCTTGAAAAATGAAACTACCAGATTCAGCCTCTAGATTGACTATTTGTAGTGTGAGTTCACTTGTGCATTTGGGAGGAAAAAAAAAGCATCCTATTCCTCAGACTTAGTATGAAGAATTTAATTACAGCTCATAAGAATTTCTTGATGTGCAGAGATAATTACAGTCCACAGGTCTGTTGCAATATCATACTCTGATGAAATTACATCAGACTATGGACTTAATAATTCTTAAAAGCTTGAGATACAACAGTCTCATTCGGACAAGCACGACACAAAACTATGCATATATATGAATGTTATGCTAAGTTGGGATTCGCCATGGTGTCAAAATACTCAGAAGGAGCTTGGCCTTTGTAATAAATTTTAATCCAAAGCAGCAGCACAGTAGATACATTTTTCATTTAGAAGTTACAAGCAGAGAAGGGTAAACCATACCTCCACTGAAGTCCAGGGCAAAACTGGTACTGACTTCACTGAAAGTGTATTTGGACATTGAACTATGTATTCCCTTACATATATTCAGTTCTTAACAAACCAAATGAAAATGAGCTAATCAAAGAAATTCAGACGGTGCACAGTACAGCTCTAGTCACACATACTATAATGGCCTTGGATATTGCAGGTGACCCCCAGAGGATGCTGCTGCAACAGGAGTATAGTTAAGGATGGGTTTGATGGGCAAGTCTTGAATTATTTGACTTTTCTGAGTTTTAATCACGTTAGTGAAATATTGGGTTTATTTTGTGGCTGTCCCCTCACAATTAAAGCTGATGAGTTTTTGTGAAACTAAAATAGGTCTTTTAAACAGATGCAAGACAAAGACAAAAATCAGTGCAAAGCACCAAAAACTGAGAAAACTATCCATTGTAGCCCAACAGCTTACTAATCAACATGCATGCTTAATAGCACATCTAAAACGATTACCACTTTGCCTGCTCAAAATTATTGATACGCATACATACATGTGCAAAATATGGAAGTTAAATCCATTTCCTTTTTCCACATGAAATTAGAAAAAAACTGTGCTTGAAAAGACTGTGCTTTTTAATGAATGTATTGCTTCTTCCCAGCTTATGAACACAACATATTTTTCATATGTGAAAACAAAGAAGTTTTGGTAAGGGTGAATTTTCCCAAATAAAGAGTTAATTTTCCACACTGGAAATAAACTATATTTTCAATAAACTTCAAGAAAGTATGTCAAAAAAGGGATAAATTAAGAAAGTGAGATTTGATTGCACAGATTTCCCTACACTATTTAATAGTTCAGGTTTTTTTAGTTGAAGAGAACAATTCTGTGTTATGACATCATTTAAACTCAACAACGTGGATGCTAGGCTGCATCTTTGAAGGGAAAAAACCCTTCCAGAGTGAAAACCATTAAAACTGGCCCAACCATTTGTTCTTTGCAAAATGTGACTCTGGTGTTCTGATGCTACGTATCCACAGCACAGCTCTGCCTCGTGCTCTGCCACCATGCCGCAGTCAGCTGGCATTTGCCCTCTGGTACCATACCTGGGATTCTGCGTCTCTGAACCATCTGACTCTGTACAAGGTTTCTTTACCTGCAAAAGCAAAGGAGTGCCAGTTACTCTCATGTGAAATACAACTTACTTGCTCACAGTTCACACACAGTACTTAAAGTAGATCCTGCTCTGCGCACTACGATCTCTATAAAATACTTCCCGTACTTTACAGCACCAGTATGCAGCACTAAAGAGTGTGTTTCATTATTATCCCATGAAGAGCTGCCAACTGCACTTCCCCAGGCTCCATTAGTATGTAAAATGTTCAGCTAAAATAGCTTGGGAGTAGTCTTAACTAGGAACAAAGAAACCAAAGAAACCAAAGAACCAGGTTCACCACTTGGAAATGAGAAAGCCACACTGTTCTCGGCTTGGCCAAGAAATGTTTTCCCAGTTGATATTGCTCCTGTTTCCTGCTAAAGCTCACAATAATAAACACCAGGTTCTGGAGCAAAGCACCCTGTTAGTTAAATATGAATAAATTCATATGGTAATTTTCATTTTGTGAATCTGCTAACTGTATGTTAACTATATTTTCCTATTGCATCAATGAACACTCACACCATTTTCACTCATATTTGCAAGATCTAAGTACATAAAAGGTATTTCAACTTGCAGTTCGACCTCTACAACACACTGCTGTAGGCTAATTGAAGGTGATAAAATCCATTGCTGCCAAATAAAAATAGAGAACTGTGTTCTTGCAGACTAGATATCTCTTTGGGATCTTCTGATTTCCTGCAAAATCTAATTGTACCTTTTGGTAATCTAAAGTACTTGTATTTTCAGCAGAGAAAAAAACATTTTGCTAATGCAGAATCCAGGGCTGTGTGGGAGGTTTCAAAGCTCCATTTTTAAAGTCACCTAGAAACATAGTCACTCGGACTCAAATGATGTGACTGACACAATACAAAAACCATTTGCATGACAACCAGCAAGTTCAGTGACAATTTTCAGGAATGCCTTGAATCAAGAGACTCTTCCATACTTATCCGCTACTTTACAGAAAAAAAACGCTGTGACTGTGAGTCACTTCTATTGAAGTTATTGATAAATGACACTCACCAACTCCAACAGAAAAAAGGATTACAGTAATGCTTAATATTTCCCCAAAATAACTCAACTTAATGCCATGCAACATCACTCATAGATGTCTGAGTATAAGCATTATTCTACAGGTGGTCATTTCTCTTATTCATTTGCATTGTAGATACTGAAAAAGACCTGTAAGTTCCCATACATGATTATTCAAAAAAATCAGTTTTCTGTAACAATAATGAAAATTTTCCCATTATGACAACTTAAACCTGTGTTTATTACTGTAAGTGTCATCCAAAACACCAAAAAAGTAGGAAACACAACAGAACTTCTAATTACATTTTGCTTGATTTTTACTACCAACTTTTTTCAACCTATCCAGTTACTCAGTTTCAACCCTTCCTTCTAATTTTCCTTCTCTTAGATTGTTTCTTTACTGTTCCTACTCTGCGACTCCGTGGATTTGTTAGGCACAGTGTGATAGGGAGAGATGTGATGGTGCAGTAGGTCAGCATGAGACACAATGAAGACTCACACAAACCCAAACCTCACAGGCACTATTTCATAAACACTCAGGTGCAAATATCATTGCTGTAGTTTTATATTCACTACATTGTTATTAAAGTAGCATAAGATGTGAAATACAATAAAATACTTCAGATATAACCACAAGATCAAGTACCACGAAAAATGTCTTCAGTGTGTGTTGATACAAACAAAAGAAATATTTATTCAGATTACTGTACTGTGTCAACATCACAATGAACTGTTAAAAAATATATCCAAAATCATTTAAAGACACTGAAATTACAACAGCCCTTCCTTGAGATGAAATGTGTACTCTCTGAAGTAGTTTATCTCAATCGAGCTACAGAGGATTTGGCCAGAAAAATAATATTTTCATTTCATATATAAGATATAATTTAAACTAACTGAAAATATAATGTATTTAGAACTATAAAACATAAAAATATAAAATACAATAATTAAAATTAATTAAAATATACATTCCTCATAGAGATATAGTACAAATCCTAGTACGGTTCCTTTTTCCATGTCCCTTTAACATCTACCCACTTCCAGGATACTTTTGCTATCTCCTTGGTGTTAAATTTATTGGCACTTATAGATTCCTTTTCCAATTTCTTTGCTGTTCTGTGGTTGCCACCAGACGCACTGCCTGTCACATTTGCACTAGGGCACAGATCTCACTGCCCAGGTCAGGAAAGCTCAACCACTGATTTTAAACAGTTGCTGGAGAGTCTGACAGTCACCCAGCACATCCCAACACCCTAACTTTGCAAAATGATGGCATGTCCTGTGGTGGGCAACTACCACAGAAGCCCAAAGATAGTTCAACCAAACACTAACATCATCCGAGCACTTTTAACATACACAATATATTAAGACCCCTGGTTCATCTGTGCGGGGATGTGAGGTGCTTCTTCTCTCTCAGTTAAGCAGTAACTGAGTACTCTCAGATGAGTTGGCCTACCCCTGCTCACTCTACTACTGCATTTAGCTCTGACCAACATTACAAAGCAATTGAAATGTCTGAAAGATTATGCTTTATCTGTGTGGCAAACATAAAAAACCAACAACAACAAACAAAAAACCTCAACCGAAACAAAACCAGCAACCAAAAACTGATAAGTTTTGGTACACCTTAAAAGGGAGTAGCAGAAAAGCCACTGACCAATTACATCAAAAAGACTCACCTTCTGTGAGATGCAACAAACTTGGGCGGGACGGAGAATAAGTATCTTTTATTTACAAATATTGCAATGAAAGCACAATACTTTAAAAAATAAGAGTATTTCAGGTTTTCAGCTTGACACATAGATGAAGCACTTCATCTATGATCATTATCTAAGAAATGTACAGCAGAAGCACAGAGTATAGATGTGTCTTTTCCTCTGAGACTAAATGTAAACTTCATTGTGTATCTCTAGGGTCCCTCTTTGAGAGAAAAAATTAATAAATAAAAATGTTATTTCTTAAAGGAGGAACAGCCATGTGATTTTCTTTCAAGTGTCCATACAGAATGCACACCATTTCTTTTTAAGGCTACTCAAGTAGCAAAACACATTTTGTTATTCATAAAATTATGCTACCCTTGATGGTGAACAGAAAATCACTGTGAGAAATTCTGATCAAAGACTAAATGTTGTTTCCTTTGTATTCAGCTGTACTGTTTTACCCCTTAATCTGCTTGCTGACTGTTTTCAAGATAATTAACTTTCACTAACACCACATTTATTATTTACTTTCTCATGTGTTAAACGAGAAAAAGAACTTTTTTCTTTATTCCTGCTCTGTTTTCCTTCCTCCCCCTCTCTATTTACACAGGTTTTCTCACTATTTTAGTTATATACATGTTGAAAATCATTCATAAGAACAAGATACCAGTTTCACTTTGAATTTTGTCAAACTGCACTACACTCTCCCACTGGCTGCCTGCTACAAAATGTTCAGAAATTTTCAGCTAAAAATATGTGCATACAAATATTTTTGAAAACATGGTATGCCGTTATGCTACTGAATGGCTTTAGCACCTGAAAGTTGGAGGTAAAATCCCAAAACTGAAAGGGGATGGGGGAGATTAAGGTGTACTGATACCCAGGAACCATAATTTCTGTGAAATGGTGGCCAAATTTATTTTAGATTTTAAGATTCTAAAAGCCCTGCTGTCATACTGTTCATGGACTCCTGTTGCAGTCTGACTACTGAATTGCTGAAGATGCTATCTGCATGTAATACTCTCCCATCTCAAAGATGTTGGTACTGCATGAGCCTTAGGATTACTTCTCCTCAATGCCAGGAGAACCCCATACCATCAGGAAATTTGACATTATCAAAACTGTCCCTCTTTGCTTTGTCAGTTCCACCTCCCACTGTTCAAGTACCAAGGTAACACCCTGAAAGAGAAAAATCTTGTAGACTCAAATACAGGGAGGAAGAGAGGAAACAAAAAACAGGGAGAGGGAATGGAAATCAGGGGATGAAAGAAGAACAGGCTCTTCACTGGGGCAAAACTAGAGGAGAGCAGGTGAAAAATGTGGTAAATGTAGGGATGGTGTGTGGAAAGTGGAAGAGTAGTGGGGCTGGCTGGGATGGGAGATTTTAAATATGAACTCTATTAAAAGCGTTGGGTACTGTGACGGTACTCTGGAAAAGAGATGCATTTATTCATTTGTCACAGAACTTCAATAAAGGTGTATGATAAATATTTACATGAGGAATGATTTTATATTAAGTATGGACTTTGGGTGCTTCATGTTTAACAAAGAAAGACTGAAGAACATAAACAGAAAAATTAAATCACACATTCATTGCAAAAAGAAGATATCCTCTGAAAAGCCTAGTATGTCAGTAATAAGGCCTACACCATAATGCATAAGAAGCTGTATTTCCACAGGCCATATTAATTCTGGCATTTCCTTGCTTCTGATGTTTTTCTTTGCAACATTAACATCTTTTAACATGATTTTATTGGACCTCATTACACTAGATGTTAAAACATGAAACAGTTCTGCTCTATGAGGTATTCTCACACACACACACACATTCTGGTGGTATTAAACACATAATGCAACACAGGTGAGAAAACCCTCCTAATACTCACAGCTGAAAAATCTTGCAACATCAGCAGTAAATTATTCTGGCAATGAATCTGTTGACCTCCCTCATCCCCTGCATCAAATATGGCCTTAAGCATCCCTCTCAAATCAGCAAGCGTGCGGTAGGGCTGAGCAGAGTCTGCAATGCTTTGGGCCTGGAGGAGGCAGCTACACATGGTAGAGCTATGGAGGCTCTAACATGAAGGAGACAAGAATGAAGGAAGAGAAGTAGTTTTTGCAGACCCAATGACATCTCAAAGCACATCTATGTGATTGCTCTGGAGTGTGGGCAGCACAGGCGTACTTCTACTGCCTGGACGACTCCCTGCAGCAAATTACTCTGGTGAAAGTTCACCAACCTCTACACACTGTCCAGAGAAG